ATGATTTAGAAACTGCCTTACCAACATTTATCATGATCATTGTTGATGATTTTCAAAGATTTGAGAAATGCATATGAATCAACAGATACCTGGGCTTTAATTGATGATTTGCTTTCAAAGAGACCAGGACAATATGATTATCCAGGGCAGAAGCCAGTAAACAGCACCTCAGCCCAGTGAACAAGGTTGTTACCAATAGTGACACAGCAGGTTGATAGTATTGCTTGCCAATAGAAATTGATGAGACCATGAAACCCAAACAACGCTTATTGGAAGGAGCTCATGCTTATGTGCAAAGTAGACAAAATTGTTAGGAAAGGTTCTACTGATTCTGAGATATAGCAGGTACTGTTAACCATTTGGAGTTCTGGCTCATGGCCTGTGGCACAAGACACTTTCATTTGCATCCAGCTCAGTGTTCTACATAGGTATTGTAGATTTTATGCAAATTATATTCTCAAAATGGTGGTTTAGCTCACTACTGCCTCTCAGGAAGGTCAAGCATTTATCACACATGGCCATATGTGCAGGTCAGAGAGATCTTCAACAAGGCAGTATGGGGTCCTTTTTTTAAATTTTATTTTTGATGATACTTACATGGTAGAGAAGGATACCTGCCCATGTGGATCACTGATTAGGGTGGGAAGGGTTGAGGAATAGGGGAAGGTGGATGAAACAATTGTTTCCAATTTTTTTTTTCTTTTTCATGTATTTGGAGGAAGGGAGGAGAGAATTGTGGGAGGGCTGTACCCAGCAGCCTAACCGCATCAATACAAAGGAATGGGGGACAGCCACCCAATATCATCTCATATCAGTATGGTGTCTTTTATGGTTACAATCTTGATACAATCCTTTTTGTTCCTGATTGATTTGAACCTGGGGACAAATGCACAGTTGGGTCAGGAGATGTCAAGTAAACAGGTGCTTGACTGAGTGAGTGCTGCTTCTGCTCTGTCTCAATGTTACCCAACACTGATGTGACATGATTCGAACAACACCTCACCTCTCTGATCCTGATGACACAAACATCAGTCTCTACCCCAGGATCTCTAGAGTAGTCAGTTAGCTCCCACACCCTGCCTCCCTTCGTCAGTTATTCAGACGGTCCCAGGGACTGAGCTCTGAGGCGCCTTACACTTACTTAAGGTGAGGCAGGCACTAGTTGGCTGCAGAGCGATCTCTGTATTTCAGGCATGCAAGGAACTCTCCAGTGTCCCTTCCTCTGGGGTTGCTGTGGTTGGGAACCTAATGAATTTCCATTGTTAGAATCCTCCAGCAATGACACCATCCACACTTATGAGGAATTATGCAGGAAACTGCAGGGGTTACCCTTCAACTCCTCCTTCTGCGTGGCCAGAAAGGATTTTTTTACTGTCATCAGCTGGGGGATGAACCTACTGTCAGGACTGGCATATTCTGGACATTGTGTTACCTGTCCCTGGGACTTAAGCTTCTCTCATAACAGAGTCTAGACACTCAAGACCCCCTTGTTTCAGCATATACCTAGAGACCCTTTTCTTGTCTCAACAGGGCCTAGAAATCCCTGTGGACCTATGAAGTTGGCAAGAAGTCTAGAGCCCTCTGGGTATTTCCCTCCTCCTCAACCTCTTCTGATAATTTGGGTATTTTCCAATAATCTGGCCACCTCCTCCCCCTGCCTCTCCTACCCATACCCATCTTTTGGTAATCTTGTGATAGTCTTATAATAAACAACTTTAGCATGTGGGTTGTGGTGAGCTACACAGTGCCACCTTGCAATATATGTGATAGTTACACTAATTGGCTAGGGTTATAATATGTAATAGATACTTGTACCCGATAGAAATATTGTCGCTATTCTGAAGATTGCTTCCCTGGACACATGCTATATAAGCTTGTGCTTAGTTGCTAATAAATGGACAAGTTCACCATAACTGTCCCTATCAGTTCTCTATTGAGAATGGTGTCTACGGCCGAGACCCTTACAAATGCAGATGCATTACTTTGCCAGGTATAGCTAAGCTTATGATCAGGTTTGAAATCACTCAAAATTCTATTTTTACCCATTGAGATTTTTATGTGATTGATATCTGTCAGCACATTGGTGTGATGTATGTTCACTGATAGTTCTTCTAATATTGAGCCATGTGACAATCCTGCCTATCTTCTAGTTCTAGGAGGAATTAGTCAATGTCTCCTTTTGTGGATGTTTGCATCCACTGCATGTTTGTGGGAACTTGGATTATAAAGTGCAGAATGTCATGATGTGTCTGTAAGGGTTAGCTAAATTTAGACTTTCATATGTTTCCTTTGTGTGTAACAAGACTTCGTCCATGCTGCAATTGTTCTATGGCTATCAACATCTCTATTTAGGATATTTTTAGCTGGCCACGAAGATTTCCAACTGAAGATTAAAGCTCTTTGTTTTTAGTTCACTGAGCAACACCAATCAAACAAAATCTAAGTTATGAAACTGGGTAAAGAGAATGCCTTTTATTATTTAAACATGTGTGAAGTTTTGAGCCTGTAATGACAAACCATCTTTGACACCCACTCAAGAGCTCTAGATTGAGTTCTAGGCTACTGGTTGTGGTCTGACCTAGCTGTGGCTATTCTAAGCATTTTGGAGTTAACCAGTGAGTGGAAGATCTTACATATACACTGTCTCTGCCTTTTAAATAAGTACACATACACTTATTTTTATTTATTTATTTATTTATTTATTTATTTATTTATTTATTTATATATGTGTACTTATTTTATACACACACACATCTCTATATATGATAGAAATGATTTGCTTGACGTAGAGATAGGAATTTTGAATAGCTATTAAGCTGTTGTTAACATTGAGATTCTGCCCTTTATGGGGTTAAGGATGGGTTTAACCTAAGGCTGGAACCATTTTGGTCTTTGAATAGTTTCTATTCCAGTTCATGTGCATTAGTTGTGAGATATTTTTTCCAGAGCTATCATGTTCCAGAAACGTAGGTGTAGATTTGGTGCAAGCAACAGCCTGGATGAGTGGGGAGGTTAAGCTGAAGTATGCTTGCAAAGGACAATTTCTTGCCTCTTATTAGAAGCCTTCATCACGATATTCGATAAATTTGATTTTTTTGAGGAGCTCTTGACCAGATCACCATTTTCTAATTTTGAAACCAGTAACACTTACCACTCTCACATTTTTATCACTACTGTAAATAACACGTTTTTAAAATCTGAAAAGTCTAATGTTAAATTCATCTGCTCCGAACTCCATTGATTTTAGTTATACCTTGACCCCTCTGTATCTACTCTTTCTGCATGGCTTAAAAAAGAAAGATTTATTTATTTTTATTGGAAAGTGAGAAATACAGAGAGGACGAGAGACAGAGAGGAAGATCTTCTGTCTGATGATTCACTCCCCAAGCAGCCGTAATGGCTGGAGCTGAGTGAATTCGAAACCAGGAGCCCAGAACTCCTCTGGCTCTCCCATGCGGGTTCACGGTCCCAAGGCTTTGGGCCACCCTCGACTGCTTTCCCAGGCCACAAACAGGGAGCTGGATGGGAAGTGGGGAGGTTGAAATTAGAACTGGTGCCCATAAGGGATCCAGGCACGTTCAAGGTGAGGACATTAGCCACTAGGCCATGGCACCAGGCCTGTGTATGGCCTTTTTTTTTTTTTTTTTTTTTTTTTTAAGTAACGGGCTGATGGCTGGTGTAACATTGAGAACAATGAGCATCTCCTGAAATTGCAGAACCACTGTTGCAGAGGCTCATGGCACACACTGGAGAATAGGGACACAACACATAGTGACTTGTTTCTGGGATCTGGAATGTAGATGGAATTGTTCATGCACCACATATCTCTCTAGTTTCAGAAGGCAAAGAAGCAAGAGCAGGTATGTATTCAAGCTGTGCTCTCAAGGTGGAAGATGCAACTGGACTCTCAAACTGTGGCTGCATGGGAGTTCCAGGCCTTGCTCTCCGGTCAGGCAGATGCTCTGTGTTCATTACTGTGTTGTATTCTTCCTTTTTCATTGACAGTATGGAATGATGCCCATTGTGTACATCAGCATACGCTGTGCTGAATCTGCTCTTGCTCACTGGTGACCCTGGCCATGAAGGTCTATGTCATCAAAGATAGGCAGAAGAATGCCATCGTGGCATGAGATGCGTTCTCAGGCACTCAACATGAACAGTTATGATCATATGCCATGATCTTGTTTCTTCCTTTGGCTGCAACTCCAAGTTTGCTGAGTGTCTGGGAGCTTAACTGTCCTTGTGAAGTACAATGACTGAATTGAAACTTCTGAGACTAGCAGCAAAAAATGTTTACCTGAAAATACGAATCATATTTTGCATCCTAAGTACCTTATGGAACTTATCCTGATATAGGCTTATGATGAAATGTGTAGTGAGTGAGACACTCTGTCTACCTAAATCACCTTGGTTGGCATGGGCTTCTGGTTTTGAGGACCAGAAAAATAGAAATAAATAGGAATTGTTTCACACTTTTTCAGCACAACAGCCATCTATGAGATCTTGGCTACTTTGTTACATTGTTGGGACAGTGTTTGCTGTATTTCTGATATGTCTGAGGTGAATTGAAGGTATATTTAAGGGTAGAGATTACTTGGAGGCAGTAGTTACGGATCTTGGTATGTAATAAGTATTGAATATACTGCTGTCAGTATACCCGTCACTGGGGAGAGAGTTCCTTAGTAGGAGAGAACTGGTGCTTACTGTGAGTTCAAACCTAAGGAAGGTAGAAAAGATATGAACACCCTGACCTCATTCAAAAGGAGACAGGTGGAGGAACTCAGAAAAGGGACTGGCTGTGTAGGAAGCTTTCCGGAGTCTGGGTGGTGGTGAAACACCCACCAGCAGGTGTGTAAAGGAAGCCTCTGCCCACGGCTTGGAAGCAGCAATGCCCTTGTTCTTAGCTGCCTTCATCCACACAGAGCAGACTGTCTTCTCCCATCCTGGGCACAGTGTTTCCCAGCTCCTGCCACCTGGTTGCATTGTCCTGCTGTCCTAAGATGAACAAGTTCCTGCTCATATTGCTGCTCCTGGGATTTTTCTCTCTTGTGATCTTTCAAGGTGTGGATGAGGTCCTGGCTGGTTGGTGCAGGGGGTAAGGAAAGGGTGAGGAGGTTTGGAGGTTTTGAGCAGCAGACCCCAGGTACTGCTCTGATGAGCTTACGCACTATATGAAGACTAGGATGGGGATACAATGTCAAGTTTAATTCAGTGATGGCCTGAGCAGCAAGAATTGGAGAACTGAAGATTTGTATCCTTACCTTGACTCCTACTTGGCTAAAAGTTAGTTCTCTTTTAATAGTCTCAGAGTTGGGTAAGTGTAGATTGGAGTGTGTTGTTTGAATTTCAGACTTCTTAGGCATCCTGGGTAGTCCTAAGCTACAGAACCTACATTTTCTTAAGACATTTTAGGTAGAAGTAGCCTATAAGCAGACTTCTACTGTGAAGGGTACTGTGAAGGGATCACTGTTGGTCTCACAATAAACCAGTATTTCCAAAGTAAGTACCCTCTGCTCATTTGTTCCATTGTGACGTTGTATTTCTTTTTTGAAAGGTGGTGGTGGCAGGAAATCTTGTGAGACTACCTTCCGACTTTGGAGTCAGTCCAGTACTTTGGCCTCATCCATTTACAAGAGGCATTTGGCCTCAGAACGACCATATGTAAATACAATAATGATTTTTGCACAACAGGCCAATGGCTAAGTGGATCCCTTACATCTTATTTCCAGTGAGATCAAAATCCCTGTAGCTGTAGCAGTTTTGATCCCACTAGAGATAAAATGTAAGAGATCCACTTAGCTATTGTGGAACCCCTCAGCTCCTTAAGTAACCAAATACAATCTGACGTGATCATTTCTAGCCCCTAATATAGTGATAATAATTCCTGGATCCAATGGTTTGTAGCCATTCTTGTTTCCAGCACACTGTATCCTTGGTTCAACACTGATGTCTCTTTCTCCAGCTCAAGCTGTCATGTGTATGGTCTGCGAGAATTTTAAAAGAGGCAATTGTTTGACAGGCAAAGGCAACTGCACTGTTGAGTATGGATTTGGATGCAGAACCAGGAATTTCTTCCTTTTCAATCAGAGAAGTAAGTGGTTGAGCCAGTCTGATAGAGTCCTTGCTGGGAGGAGATCATGTTCCTGTGTTAGGGACCAGACTTGGTGTGGGAGTAAGTCAAGCTGCTGTTGAGAGGTCCAAGTGTTGTCTGTAGTACTAATGTGTGTGCTCTTTTCCAGATAAATGGGTACACAATCACACTGAGTTGGACTGCTACTCCCATTGTTCACCTAATCATATGTACCTTGGGCACCTGAAGATATCTAGCCAGTGCTGTAAAGATAAAGATTTCTGTAACAAATATCAAGGAATATTACCGAAGACAAGACTCAACTAACTGCAAATTCTTTGGCAGAGACCACTTCATCTGTTTCTTCTCTTGAAGTCACTGGCCCACTCCTAACCATGTGTGCTCTGCCGAGTGTGTAGTGCCCTCACATAATTTGCAATATCCTTCTCCTCTGTCCTGGCCATTGCTTCCTTCTCTCCACAATAAGGACTCTCATTTCCTGCGTGTTTTCTGTCTCTTTCAAGTCCATCTGTAATTGCCACTAATATTCCCTGCTCTGCATTTCCTCTTGTCTCACAGTCTATCACTTATTGCTTTAGTTGGCTAACTTTTTGATTTCTGGCCCCACTAACTTAGAAATGACTTTCAGATTCATAGAACAGAGATGGGTTGCATTTCATTATAGATTAGGAATCTCTGGAATCATGGGGAGATTCATCTAAGTGGTTAGTAGACAGAGAGATCTTAGTGCCTAGAAAGACATTCTAGACTGACACAGGCAATTCAAATTCCTTCCTTCCTTCCTTCCTTCCTTCCTTCCCTCCTTCCCTCCTTCCCTCCCTCCTTCCTTCCTTCCCTCCTTCCTTCCTTCCCTCCTTCCTTCTTTCCTTCCTTCCTTCCTTCCTTCCTTCCTCCCTTCCTCCCTCCCTCCCTTCCTTCCTTCCCTCCTTCTTTCTCAACATCTCTGCCCTTATTCCTTCCTTACTTTGTTTTCCCCTTTGCATCCATTGTGGTAAAATATATACTAGTATTTCCATTTCAAAATCATTTACTGATTACTTTGCTTTCATTATTTATAATAAAGTGGGGCATTTTTTTTTCATTTGAAATGACAAGAAAAATAAATTAATTTTCTTTGAATTTTATTTATTTGGTTTTTAAAATAAGTTTAGTTTTGATGATGTTTACATAGTTGAGAAGGATATATGCCATACAGACCACTGATTAGGGTGGGAAGTGTTAAGGAATGGGGGAAAGTGAATGAGACAATTGCCTCCAATTTATTTTTTCTCTTGTGTCTGGGATACAGGAGGAAATAATGGAGAGATAAGCGGGAAGGGCTTCTCCCAATAGCCTAAAGGCATCAGTACCTGGGGATGGATAATGGCCACTTGATGTCATCCCAGGGTGCCTGATGTGGAACATGTTCTGAGGGTACTGCTTAATTGGATTTGATAGTTCTGAGATGCTGTTGATTTCATTGCACTAAGGTTGAGGAAATCCTTCCAACACTCACTGACTGACATAGTTGGACTTAGAATCTCCACCTGCCGTGATACTTGCTGTCAAAATTTGGCCAGGAGACTTGTCCAATTTGTTTTGCCCTCCTTCCTCTGAAATGGTATTAGATGTCTTCTGTAAGCCTCAATGAACTGTTCTCTCTCTCATTTGCATCTGGGCGTGGTGTCCACTGCTTCAGCAACTGAGGAATCTCATTCTGATACTTGTAGTTCACAGTATTACCACAGATCCTGTGATTTTCCTCACTGTTGGAGTTTTGAGTCTAGTGGTCCAGTTTGGGGCATCCCAAAGAAACTTCAGCAGAGGTGACCCCAGACCTGATTCTTGTGTATACAGACAGTTCAGGGTTCAGTCTGTCAGTTCAGTCTGTCACCTGCATCAGCCAACACACACACACACACACACACACACACACACACACACACACACACACACACAGTTGCAGTCATCTAGTGAATTTTGTACTCAGGTACATTTCATGTGCAAACGAACGGAAGTTGCAGCCCAGCCCAACTCTGTTCATCACATACGTGGTCCTCAGGTACACCACAGGAACTGCAGCTTATTTAGAGTGAACCTCAAAAGTCCCCACCAGGCCTGCCTGTAACCTAGTTCCTGTTCAGGCTGGTATGTACAGCAGACTGATTCAGTCTGTCCCACACCCCATTCAGCTTTTGTACACACCAATGGGTGTTGATGCCTAGCTCAGCCCAACAAACCCCACTTCCAGCCCACTTTTGTGCTGGTGGGTGGTACCATCTATCCAGCGACATCTACCCTTGGCCCTGGTTCTCATGCTCATTACTGGGAGCTGCAGCTCATCACAGGAGTGTCCACACTTTCTATACTATGCCCACTCCCAGCCCCAGATCTTGTACTTTGTAGGTGGTACTATGGTCTAGCTTCACAGATTGGACCTCCATTCCTAGCACTTGCAAGCTGATGCTGTGTCAGTGCCAGACTAGCCTGTACTCACTCTGGCTCACACATGTACCATTTGATATGGTCGCTAAGCCCTGCCTGGCTCTTCCCCTAACCCAGCTCATATGCAGGCAAATGTGTTGTAGCCCTGTCCAGCCTGGTCTGCCCTAAGTTCCAGCTCTCACACTCACCAGTGAGAGGAATGGCTCAGCAGGTTAGTGCCTAGAGCCCACCTACTGGGTTCCCACCCTCCTGAGGGTCTTACATGTGCTGGTGGGTGCTTCAGCCCAGGTGGCATGTCCTGTATCACCTTGACATTCTCCAGTGTGTGCTGCAGTCTGGCTCAGCCTGGCCTGCCTCCTGTTCCAGCTTGTACTGGCAGGTGCTGCAGCTAGCCCAGCTTGGACTGCCCCCAGTTCCAGCTCTAGAGTGAACTGGCTGGTGTTTCAACTCAACCTGACCTGTCCCACACCCCATCCTGGTTCTCACATCTGCCAGTGGGTGCTATGAATTGGCACAGCCTGGCCCGGCCCCAGACCTGTGCCACACATGTTCCAGCAGGTACTATAACCTTGCCTGGTCTGGGTTGATTCTTGAGCTCACCAGCAGGGACTGCATTCTGACAGAGGAGTTCCTTAGGCTTCTGTAACAGATCACCTCCCAGTTGCAGATCTCGCGCAAGTAATGGATGTTTGGCAGCCTGACTTAGTCTTTACCAGCAGGTATGGCAGCCTTGTGTAATTGGCCTACACCATTCCGGGTCATGCTGGTAGGTGCTACGTTCAGCCCTGCCTGACTCCTCCTGAGATCTGGCTCTCATGTGGTTCAGCAGGTATCAAGACCTAGCCCAGGCTGTCCTACACCCATCCTGGCTCATGTGAGCACCAGTGGATACTAGGGCCTAGCCAAGCTTGGCACACCCCAGACTCCACAGTCCACACCAATGCTGAGAGGTGCTACGACCATGTCCATCCCAGTCTGCTGACCCCATTCTGATTCTTGTACTTACCAGTGGGAACTGCAGCCCAATAGAAGCATATCCCTAGCTCCCAGACCTGGCCTGCTGCTAGCTACAGATCTTGCATATGCTGGTAGTTGCTCTGACCCAGCCAAACATAGGCCATCCCCTTTCTTTGCCTTTGTCATTGTATGCTACAGCTTGGCCTGGTGCAGCATGTTTCCAGTATCAACTCTTGCTGGTGGGTGCTGCAGCCTAGCTCTGCCCAGCCTGGGCTATGGGGCAGGACTGCACATACACTGAGCTGGGAGTGAACTCATTTCTGGCTTAGTGGACTGCAACAACATGGCATCCAATAGGTTCCACCCAAGACAGATCTGGGTAGCCCTCAGACCTAATGGCCAGCAGATCAAGAACTCTAGTGATGGCACATCAGGTGCCTTTTGTTCAGTGTGACAAAGTTTTAAGACTACAGGGATGACACTGAACTGCACATGCACTGAGCTTGTTCAGAATTTACTGAGCTCAGTGCACTGCACCGGTCCCACAGTGAAAATAATACAGACTTTGGCATCGTACAGGTCAAAAGGTTCATGTGGCCCTCATGTCTAAGAGCAAACAGGTTCCAGCAAGATCAGCACCACCAACAATCTAGTTATATAGGATACCTGGTGTGTCCCTAATCCTAGGACCTACTCCAACCAGAAGTGGGAGAAAGGTTGTACAGACAATGGTGTAGTCTCAGCCTGGTATCACAGGAAGTGGAAAGTGGTGAGCCAGGAGCTAAGGCTACAGAGACCATGGTAGAAGTCTAACATAAGAACCCAGACCTGGAACTGGCTAGAGGGAGTGGCACAAGTGACTGCAAACAAAGAGCTGTGTACCAATTGCAAAAAGTAAAATCGAACTGTAGACCTGTGGGTGAAACCTGCCCTAAGGACAAGACTCTGATAACCAAAAGTTCAATGACCAAGAGCAAAAGAAGAGACAGAGGCACAATGAATATTACGGAGGACTCCCCTCCCCTGAAAAGGAGCAAAAGCCTTTGCCAACCTCAGAGTTAACTGAGGAAGATACCGAGAAAATGAGGAATACAGAATTTAATACACTTGTTTTTAAACTTCTTATCAACATGAGAAGCACATAAAGCAGACATTCAAGGGATTTAAGCGATATGTCACACTGGAAATGAATCAAATGGAAGCTGATATATTAGAAACGAAGAATACAGTGGAGCAAATTAAAAGTACAGTGGAGAGTCCCCAAAACAGAATGAAGGAGGCAGAAGAAAGAATCTCAAAATTAGAAGATATTTCCTATCACCAGGGTGAAACAAACAAAAATCTGGAAGCAGAGCTGGATCAGACAAAAAAAAAGTATTCAAGAATTGAAAGACACTATTAAAAGGCCAAATATAAGAGTTATAGAGGCATCTCAGAAGGTGCAGAAAGAGAAGTTGGGTTTAAAAATGTATTTAACGTGGCCTTTTATTTAAGGGGATGTGTAGTAACTGTGTAATTGAGACCGTCATATCCAAATGTGAGGATACAATGCAGTATGCATCTCTACTTCCAGACAAAGATGGACTCCCAATGACACTGTTAAATGTATCTTGACAATAGGATCCTGGGTTCTCTGCCATTGTCCATACCTACAATGAAGGACTAATGACTGTTTATAAAGAACTATACTATGGTAATGATATGGGGGAACCCAGTAAGAGGGAAGGGATTTGGGGAGGGGATAAGGGAAATCTCAGGACCTGTACAACTATATCATAAAATGATGGTAATAATAATAATAATAATAATGATAATAGAAGTAAAATTTAAAAAAGAAATTATGGAAATAATCCCATGACCAACAGCTACCATAAAGAAAAAGAAAATACCTGGGAATAAATTTAACCAGAGTTAAAATGCTCTTA